ACTTGAGAGGATTGCACTTCATCCCATTGGAGGCCAATCGTTCCAAGACTGGGTCAACCAGGGAAAGATGTTTTGTGAATGGTCCTCGGGACCAAATTCCCATGTCATCGATGTATACCTCAACATCTAGACCAGATAGGATCTTTGTGATGAAGGCTTGAGCATAGTCGGGAGATGATTTGAGTCCCATGGGCAATCTTAGGCATCTGTAATTGCCGTGTGTTGTAGTGAGAGTGCAAATCTTTTGACTCTCTTCATCCAATTCAAAGCAATAGAACATCATTGAGAGATCAATCTTTGTGAAATGGTCGTATCGTGTTCTTCGGTTCATGATGTCTTGGATTTTGGGGAGAGTGAACTGAGGTCTCTTGATCCTTTTGTTCAGTTCTCTAAGATCAACAAGCCATCTGACTCGTCCATCTTTCTTTGGAATGATAAAGGCTGGGAAGCCCCATTCTGAGTTGCCAGTGGGGGCTATCACCCCTTCATCAACAAGATGCTGGCATTCCCTTTTGAAAACATCCTCGTGTCTATAGGGAATTGGATATGGTCTTATATAAACTGGTTCTGCATTATCCTCAAGATCAATGTGGATCTTTTCATGTGGATATCGACCTAGTTTGCCATCAAACAATTCTGTGTGTTTGGCTAACATCTCAGTGAATGCTAGTCTTTCTGATTCTTTCATGTGCTCCTGCTGGTCTGCTACCTGCTCTGGAGTCACTTTCTGGTACTGCGCGTCCAGGATTTTTGTTGCCTCAATGGGTCTTTTTGTTGCCTCAGTGGGTCTTTTTGCATCTGCTGCCAAATAACTGTCCGAACCTGTATCAATTGCACGTCTGCAATTTGTTGGTTGGCAGTTGGGGATTAGATGAAACTTGATGAATCCTCCATCCAAGAGTTCATCATCCTCAGCCAGCCACAAAGCTTTTGCTACTTGCTGGGGATCATTGAAATGATCTGTTGGTTTCATATCAATGGTTGAGCCTAACCATCTGATAGTGCGCGTAGAATAGAAGAGATCTATTCCTGTCATCAGTAGGAAGTCCCTTCCTAAAATCATATCATAATTGCAGGGGGCTGAGAAGAGCCTTGCATTGATTCCTCTGGTATATTTGCCATTACCAAATTCTGGGAGTCGAATGTTGGAAATGAAGACATACTTGGATGTGTCAAAGCTTCCTTGGGCTGTAGTCGTAACTGAGCTGAATTGGTCCTGAAAGGGAACTGTTCCTGGTGGAAGGCAACGCTTGTGAATAAGGCACATTGTACTCCCACTATCCAGTAGAACCTTGTATGTATTCATTGTTGGTAAGCCTTGGATAGCTTTGCATACTAGGATGACCACTGGTAGTACATCCTGCATATTCGGTGGTGTTTTCAGAGCTCTCAAGGTGGTTGCCGATGGATTTTTAAGAGCTTCATCATTATCAAGACCGTAGAGTTCAAGGCTGTTCGTTGGTGATTGAGTGAGCGGTGGTGGAGGCAATGCAAAGTAAGCCTCGCTTGGATGTCACCACTGTTGATTTGGGCCCTGTCCTTGTCCTTGGAATCGGACCGTCGATCCCAGATTGCTGTGGGACTGTAATGATACATGGCTTGGAGGGCCACTGGAATTAGAACCGGTAATCTGATAGTTCTGAGGTTGAATTGCTTGTGGTTGGAAATTGCTCATGTTCCCGTGCTCATCCACGTCACAGGAATAAGTTCCCGGTGTGAACCTCTTACTGTTTGTACCACTGTTGCTTGCATTTGAACCTCCCTGATTTCTCTGATTTCCTCCGTGATTGTCATTGCCTCGGTTATAGCCATCCTTGTTGAAACGACACTCTCCCCATAGATGTTGACCCTTGTGTATTTTACAAGGCGTTGCATTTATTCTTTTCTGTCTCTCTTCTGGAGTCTCATTCTGTCTGTTGTTCCTAGTATTGTTGCTGTTGCGTTTCCTCTGTTTCCCATTCCTTCCTCCTTGTCCTGTATTGTTATCGTCCGCTGATCTTTTCCTTGATCTTTGCTGTTGTTCTTCATCTGCAATTCCTTTTTGCTCTGTCATATACTGTACAATTTGTTCTATGCTGTCATCGACAACGTCCCTTCCAGCTCTGGTGTAATCATTCTGCCATGGCTTGGGAAAGGACATAAAAAGGATCTCCTTGATCTCTCTGTCTGATAAAGGCTCTCGTATACCATGTAGAATGTTGGCTCTGGCACAACAGGTTTCGACTCTGTCTGCATGGGCCTGGCAGGAACTGGAGTGGGATTTCTTGACCGCTTCTGATTTCAA